AGGGTACCATTGTGCTCAGGGAGCTCTGTTCTATCAGCTGACCTTAAAAGATCAACTATTTTTTTCCTAACCCTGACCCCCATTTGCCCATTCATTGCCATGGTCTTTGACTAGACGACTACCCCCTGATTATCACGGCGGTTTATCACGGTCAAACCTCTGCCGCTCCAAGCTCGCTCAGTGATACCCCCTGATTATCACGGCGGTTTATCACGGTCAAACCTCTGCCGCTCCGAGCTCGCTCAGTGATAACCAACCCCTGACGGCTTTCTGTACCTCTGCTCATCCCCGAGAGCCAATCGAATAGTGTCTACAAGCTTTGCTTAAGACACGACTTCAACAAGCTGTTGTCGTGTCGATTGACCGTGTGGAGAGAGCTGCAGATTGACCGTCAGGAGAGAGCCGTTGCCTCGTCAATCGACCGTGTGAGAGATCTGCCAATTGACCGTGTGGAGAGAGCTGCCGATTGACCATAAGGAGAGAGCCGTTGCACTGTCAATTGAGTGTGTGAGAGAGCCGTTGCAGGGTCAATTGACCATGTGTAGAGCCATTGCCCTGACGTGTGAGACAAAAGAGAGCCGTGGCTCTGTTGATTGAGCCTGTGAGAGAGCCGTTGCACTGTCGATTGAGCATATGGAGGAGCTTATCGATATGTGTCCTCCAACATCAACGAACACCAACACCCAAATTGCCCATCAATTTCCTCATGCAATTCATCTGCATTTGATCTGAAATTGATACACACAATTTGATTGCACTATCTGCACGTACTGTGAGAGTTGCATCAATTATTGAGCCCAGGAACAGCGAAGGAATACACGTTGAAAAAGCGAAGGAATACAGTCGAGTGTCTGTGCACACGCTAAATATTTGGCTGGCAAAGCGAAGGAATACACCTGTTTTCCTTTGTAGAATAGAGTGAGAGCTGCTCTGTTACCAGAGCTGCAACTGCGCACTGTAATAAGTAACACACTGGCAGACTGCGCATTGCTTAGATAGTTGCCTACCAACAGTCTACGCTGTCATTGAACAGGTGCTACTTTTGTGTCATCCTGACATGGCTTGCAGCCAACAACAACCCTACCAGTCTTTATACTTGTGTCAGCACCCATTTGTCAGCTCCCATTTGTCAGCACCCATTTGTCAGCACCCATTTGTCAGCACCCATTTGTCAGCACCCATTTGTCAGCACCCATTTGTCAGCACCCATTTGTCA